TACACAATAGAAATGATCAAAACCAGCTATCTCATTTTATAGATGTTTTCCAAGTCCTAATGCTGAATATATCTTAGCTAGATAGATGTTAATGGATACATGTTTTGGTTTTAGATATACAGCTTGTGAAGAAATATTTATTTAGGGATCAAAGTCTGAAAATTAGGCTCTCTTTTCCATTCTTTTTTAAAAATCAATTCATTTATTTTTAGTTTTCAACATTCACTTCCACAAAGTTTTGAGTACCAAATTTTCTCCCCATCTTGACCCTCACCCCACCCCAAGATGGCATGCCTTCTGAATACCCCTAATCTGCCCTCTCTTCTATCTCTCCACCCCCCTTTTCTCATCTCCTCCCCCTCCAATTTTCCTATAGGGCAGGATAGATTTCTATACCCCATTTCCTGTATATCTTATTTCCCAACTGCATGTAAAAACAAAATTTTTTTAACTTTTTTTTAAACTTTAAGTTCCAAATTTTCTCCCTTCCTCCCTCCCCACCCACCCGCATTGAAAAGGCAAGCAACTCAATGCAGGTTATACATGTGTAGTCACGCAAAGCACTTCCATAGTAGTCATGTGAAAAACTAAGTATATTTCCCTTCATTCTTTCCCACCCCCCCATTTATTCTATTCTCTTTTTGACCCTGTCCCTCCTCAGAAATGTTTGCTTCTGATTACCCCCTCCCTTAATATGCCCTCCCCTCTGCTCCTGCTCTCTTGTCCCCTTCCCTCCCTATTTTCTGTAGGGTAAGGTAGATTTCCATACTCAATTGAGAGTGTATGTTATTCTCTCCTTAAGCCAAATTTGATGAGAATAAGATTTACTCATTCCCTCTCACCTTCCCCCCTGTTTCCCCTCCACTGCAAAAGCCCCTTCTTGTCTATTTTACCCCATTCTACTTCTCCCTATCTCCTTCTCCCGGTATATTCCTCTCTCATCCCTTAATTTTATTCTCCAGATATCACTGCTTCATCTTCAACTGACCCTGTGCCCTCTATTTATCTGTCTGTCTGTCTGTCTGTCTGCCTGTCTCTCTCTCTCTCTCTCTCTCTCTCTCTCTCTCTCTATATATATATATATATATATATATATATATATATATATATATATATATGTATGTATGTGTGTATATATATACACACATACATATAATTTTTCCCTCCAACTACTATAATACTGACAAAGGACTCATGAGTTACAAATATCTTTCCATGTAGAATGTAAACAGTTCGACCTTAGTAAATCTCTTGTGATTTTTCTTTCCTGTTTACCTCTTCGTTTTTCTCTTGAGTCTTGTATCTGAAAGTCGAATTTTCTGTTCTGCTCTGGTCTTTTCATCAAAAATTCTTGAAAGTCTTCAATTTTACTGAATGTCCATTTTTTCCCATGATGGATTATGCTCAGTTTTGATGGGGAGGTGATTCTTGATTGTAATCCTATCTCCTTTGCCTCCTGGAATATTATATTCCAAGCCCTGTGGTCCCTTAATGTAAAAGGTGCTAAATCTTGTGTTATCCTGATTGTGTTTCCACAATATTTGAATTGTTTTTTTCTGGCTTCTTATAATATTTTCTCCTTGACCTGGGAACTCTGGAATTTGGCTACAATGTTCCTAGGAGTTTTCCTTTGGAGATCTCTTTCAGGATGTGATTGGTGGATTCTTTCACTTTCTATTTTGCCTTCTGGTTCTGAAATATCACGGCAGTTTTCCTTGATAATTTCTTGAAAGATGATGTCTAAGCTCCTTTTTTGATCATGGCTTTCAGGTAGTCCAGTAATTTTTTAAATTCCCTCTCCTGGATCTATTTTCCAGGTCAGTGGTTTTTCCAATGAGATATTTCACATTATTTTCTATTTTTTTCATTCTTTTGAATTTGTTTTACAGTATCTTGATTTCTTATAAAGTCACTAGCTTCCAATAAGGAAGTATTTTCTTCAGTAAGCTTTTCGACTTCCTTTTCCATTTGTCCAATTTTGCTTTTTAAGGCATTCTTCTCCTCATTGGCTTTTGGACCTCTTTTGCCATTTAGGTTAGGCTATTTTTTTAAGCTATTTTCTTCAGTATTTTTTTGTGTCTCCTTTAGCAAGCTGTTGACTTGTTTTTCATGATTTTGTTGCATCACTCTCAGTTTTTCCTCTACTTCTGTCACTTGCTACTCAAAATCCTTTTTGAGCTCTTCCATGGCCTGGGACCAATTCATGTATTTCCTGGGGATTTTGGATGTAAGAACTTTGACTGTGTTGTCTTCTTCTGGTTGTATGTTTTGATTTTCTTTATCACCAAAGAAAGATTCTATGGTCTGGTTCTTTTTGCGCTGCTTGCTCATGATCCCAGCCAATTACTTGAGTTATAAACTTTTTGTTAAGGTAGGAGTCTGCTTCCAGTGTGGAGAATATACTTTCCCAAGCTTCAGGGGTTTTGTGCAGCTGTTTTCAGAGATACTTCTAGGGACCTGTAAATTTTCAGTTCTTTCAAGGTGCTATGATCAAGGGCAAGGTGTTTACTCTTTTCCTGGCCTGTGCTCTGGTCTATGAATGACCACAAGCACTCTTTTCTGTTTTGGAACTATGAGGAGGATTTGCCACTACAAGCTCCACCAAGCAAGCACTCCTTCTTGCCACAGGACTGCCACCCAGAACTGTGACCAGATCCAAGAATGGGCAAAGCAAAGAGAATCCTGCACTAGCAGAGAGATCCCTGCAATTCCCTTCTGATCAGCCACTTGATTCCCCCTCAGTCTGTGGGCCATTGCTCTAGAGGCAGTCACTACCCCAGGGCTGCACTCAGGGACTGGTGATGTGACCTCTTTTTCTCTCTCACCACCACAGAAACAGATTTTCCCTACTGAACTTCTAAGTTGTCTTTGGTGTTCATCGGTTGAGAAGTCTGAAAACTGGCACAGTTGCCCATGATTTGGTCCACTGAGGTCTGCTCCAGGTTTGCTGAGGTCTGCGTGCCCACAACAAACTGAGGTTCTCTCCTGGCCCAGTGCAATATACCTTTCCAATCAACCATCAAGATTGTCTTGGACTGGAAATTTGTTTCACTCTGTCTTTTTGTGGGGTCTGTTGCTTTAGAATTTGTTTAGAGCCAATTTTTACAGGTATTTGGAGGGATTTGGGGGAGAACTCAAGGAAGTCACTGCTTTTACTCGGCCATCGTGGCTCTGCCCCCTTTTCTTTTCCATTCTAATAACTGTTTGTTGCATTATTTCAAGGAGGTTCTTCCGGATCAATAAAAATTAATACTTATACTGGGCATCTTATAAGACTTGGTCACATTTCTTGTTTGGGTTTTTTTTTTGGGGGGGCTAGGCAATGGGGTTAAGTGACTTGCCCAGGGTCACACAGCAAGTAAGTGTTGTGTGTCAGAGGCCAGATATGAACTCAGGTCCTCCTGAATCCAGGGCCAGTGCTCTATCCACTGTGCCACCTAGTTGACCCATTGGTCACATTTCTTAATCCAGAAGTCTCCAAAGAATTTCAGAAGAACCATGCTTGGATTGTTTAGATTTTTCTAAATATCTTTTCTATTCTTCTGTTTATACTTCTTTTGAAATATACTTGAATATGAAAAATCTCTGGAGTGCTTTTTAATCATGGCATAAGTTTATTTTTCCTGAACCTTTAATATACATTGTCTCCCCTAGTTACAATGTGAATACCTTGAGGGCAGGAAGTATACTGTTTTTCTATTTGCAATCTAAGTGCTTAGTACAATGCTTAAAACATAGTAATATTAAATAAGTTACTTGAGAAGGATAGAATGATAAAAAGTTACTATGGTTTCAATTTTTGAATACATTTATTTTCTATTAATCACAATAGCATTGGCATTCATTTGAAAAAATATAATTTATATGTGCTCAAAATATATCATTTATTCAGAATATAAAAGATATATTTAATTATTTGGTTAATAAGTCATTTAAAGATAGACCCTTTGCAATAATTCCACAACTCTAAGGATTTCAATGATCATAGATTGGGAACCTTTTCCTTAAAATCATCTTCACTGCCCTAAGCCATTGCACGGGCATGTGCACACAGACATAGACACACACAGACACACAGACACACACACACACACACACACACACACATACACACACTTGAGAAAGTGTATTTGAGTTTGGTTGAAAGCAGAGAGAACATGGGAGGACATATGAGAACAAATCCATTTTTCCCCATCATCCCAAATTGTATTAGATTTAACAAGCATTTTTTTTTATTTTTTAACATTTTTATTTAAAATTTTGAGTTCCAAATTCTATTCCTCCTTCCCTTTCTCCCCTCCCAACTTCCTGAGATGAAAAGCAATATTACTTTATGGTAACAATGGTATTGGTTATACACATGTAATCATGTAAAATATTTCTATATTAGTCATTTTGTACAAGAAAATTCAAATTTTAAAAAATAAAAGAAAGTGAAAAATAGCATGCTTCATTCTATATTCAATTAATATAAGTTCTTTCTCTAGAGGCAGATAGTATACTTCACCATTAGTCCTTTGGGATTTTCTTGGATCATTGTATTGCTGAGAATAGCTAAATCAGGGATAGGGAACCTGCGGCCTTGAGGCCACATGTGGCCCCCTGGGTCCTCAAGTGAGGCCCTTTGACTGAATGCAAACTTCACAGAATAAATCCCCTTAGGATTCAGTCAAAGGGGCATACTTAAAGACATAGAGGGCCACATGTGCCCTCAAGGCTGCAGGCTCCCTGCCCCTGAGCTAAGTCAATCACAGTTCTTCATCAAACAATGTTGCTGTTGCTGTATAAAATGTTCCCCTTGTTCTGTTCACTTCACTATGTTTTCAGGGGGTAACTTCACATATTTCCACTGAAAGATTGGGATATTAATCATGGTTCTAACAATATGCATAGCTTCCAGGTAAAACTGAGTATCTGCAATGGTCTAATTCATGTATCCATCCATGACTCCAAGTCAAATGAGTTACTTGATCGATGGTGCATCTAATCAAGAGAGAGACCTAAGATTTTTCCCTTGAACTAACATATTGACTTCTCAGTCTCTTCATGGCTGCTTTCATCTCTTTGTTTCTCAAGGTATAGATGGCAGGATTTAACAGAGGTGTGAACACTGCATAAAACACAGCGAGAAATTTGTCCACTGAAGGAATGTTGAGTGGACAAAGATAAATGAAGATACAAGGTACAAAGAATATTACCACCACCATGATGTGAGCAGTACAAGTGGACAGGGCTTTATATACCGCATCTGTGGAGTGATGGTGAACAGTGAGTAGGATATAGGTGTAAGAAATCAAAAGTAGGATGAAACAGGTTGTAGCAAGAAATCCACTATCAGCATTCACCAATAATCCTAGGGTATAAGTATCCATGCAGGCAAGTTCAATCACCAGTGGGAGGTCACAAAAAAGTTGTCTATCTCTCTAGGGCCACAGAAAGGAAGATCCACAATCATAGCCAATTGGCTAATTGAGTGTGCAAGCCCAATAGCCCATGAGATCACTACAAGCCAAATGCACTTTTGCTGGCTCATGATAATTGTATAGTGAAGAGGTTTGCATATGGCTACATAGGGGTCATAGGCCATAGTCACAAGCAACACCATCTCACCACCCCCAGAAAAATGTACAAAGACAACCTGCCACATGCAGGTTTCAAAGGAGATGGTCTTGCTATCCCTAAAAAAGTCTATGATTGACTTGGGGATGGTGACTGAGGAAAGCCACAAATCCACAAAAGATAGGTTGGCTAACAGGAAGTACATGGGGGAATGGAGATGGGAATCAGTGATAACTGTGGTCACAATGAGAAAGTTATCTGAAACAGTAGCCAAATAAATCATAGAAAATAATAGGAAGAGATAGATCTGGAGCTCCCATGAATCAGTAAGTCCCAACAGCACAAATTCAGATACCACAGACTGATTCACTCTATCCATTGCATCAAGTATTTACTCCAGTCTCCTAGAGAGAATGGGGCAAGCAGTCATTAGAATGGAACAGATAGCTTAATTTAAAATCTTTGGCTCCCAGAAAGATATTTTCCCAAATACTGTATATCTAAAACTAAAACCTGTGTCCATTAATACATACCTTGCTAAGGTACAGTCAGCATTATGACTAAGAAGACTATTTATAAAAGGAGAAAATTGGTTTGATCATCTCTATTGTTTCTTCTAGTTTAAACATTCTATAATTCTAAGGGCTCATCAAAAATTGAAGGTAAATTAGATATCAGAGATTATATGAAGAACTACAGGTTGAGATATGCCCTAGGGCAGGGGTGAGGAACCCACAAACAAGGCCATATGTGGCCCTCTAGGTACTCAAGTGCAGTCTTTTGACTGAATCCAGACTTCACAGAACAGTTGGAGTTTAGATTCATTCAAAGTGCTACACTTCAGGACCTAGGGGCCCATATGTGACCTCAAAGCTGCAAGTTCTCCAGTCCTGCTAGCGAAATCTAAAATGTGTTATTTATTCCAAAATATTGGCATTTGTCCAGCCTATTTTTAACAGGATTCCAAGCTGAGCTATACTTCAAATGTTATCTTGAGGATATTTCAATAATATGATTCTAAATTACAATCTAAGTTTTCTGTTATATCATAAATCATATTCATAGCCATAAATTAAATCACAGAATCACAGAATCTCACATTTGCAAGGGACTTTAGAAGCTAGACAATCCAACCCATAGCTAAAAAGAAATCAGCCCAACAGCATCACCAAATGACCACCCAGCCTTCTTTTGAATATTTCTAGTAAGGTAAAATCCTTTTCTACGTATTAACTATTCTCAATTTAAATGTTTCCTTATATCAAAGATATTTGTTTCATTACCCTATGTCATTACCTGTGCTCCCATTTTTTGCCCCTGGGCCTAAGTAGAATAAGTCTTAATTTTCCAACATGATGTTTCTTATTTAATATTTGATAAGAGAAAATTGATAACTGAATTATATTGTTTAATGGAATTCTAAAACATAGTTAGACCAATATCTGTGACAATTAGAAGCATTCAATTAACTGTCTTGTGAATTAGAGTAAGTTTCTGCTTCCAAAGGACCTTGTAATCTCCCTAGGCATTTTCAAAGTTGTCCCTAAGCATCTGTAAAAGGAAGTTAATCAAACTCAACCATATTTGATTCAGCCCTGAATATCCCACATTTTTAATCACTTCCACCTCTGCTGGCACCAAGAAACTTCTCTTTTTTAAGACCAATTTGACTCAAACACATTAATTCAAGGTAATTACTCTCCTAGCCATGTTGCCTAAAACATAATAATTCAATTTCACTACCTAACAAATTTAACCAATTCCTTAGATTTCAATGATACAGGTTAAATTGACCTTAACATAAATTTGAATGTTTTCTTTAGTGAGAGGGTAGAAAGATTTTCCATCTCTCTCCTGTTTCCTTTCACCCTGGCTTCATTGTTTTTCTGAGGTCAATCTGGTCAAATCTGAGATGATTTTGATTAATCCGAAGTAACAACTAGTATCACTATAACTCAGTTTTGTTAAAGGCCTCATTTCTCAAATATATAGAGAATTGAGTCAAATGTATAAGAATACAAGTCATTCCCCAATTGTAAATGTCCAATATCTATCAGATAGCTTTCAGATAAAGAAATCAAAGCTATCTATAGTCATAGGAGAAAATGCTATAAATCACTATTGATTAGAGAAATGCAAATTAAAACAACTCTGAGCTACCACCTCACATCTATTGGATTAGCTAATATGACAGAAAAGGAAAATGACATATGTTGGGGGGGGGATTAATGCACTGTTGGTGGAGTTGTGAACTGATCCAACAATTCTGGAGAGCAATTTGAAACTATGCCCAAAGGACTATATACTGTGCATACCCTTTGGCCCAGCAATACTACTAGTAGGTTTGCATCCAAAGAGATTTTTTAAAAAAGGAAAAGGACCTACATGTATAAAAATATTTACAGAAGTTCCTTTTATGGAAATTGAGAGGATGCCCATCAATTGGGAAATGGCTGAAGAAGTTGTGGTATTTGATTATGTCGTACTATAAGAAATGATGAGCAGGATGCTTTCAGAAAAACCTGGAAAGGGCAGCTAGGTGGAGCAGAGCCCCAGCCCTGAAGTCAGGAGTACCTGACTTGACACTTACTAGCTGTGTGACCCTGGGCACGTCACTTAACCCCAATTGACTAAAAGAGAGAAAGAGACAGAGACAGAGACAGAGACAGAGACAGAGACAGAGACAGAGACAGAGAAACAGAGAGACAGAGAGACAGAAAGAAAGAGAGAGAGAAACCTGGAAAAACTTACATTAACTGATACAAAGTAAAATAAGAAGAACCAGAAGATCATTGTACACAGTGACAGCAATATTGTACAAAAATCAGCTAGGAATGACTCAGCTATTCTTAGCAATAGAAAGATCTAAGAGAATTCTTAAAGAAGTATGACGAAAAATGCTATCCACCTTCAGAAAAATAACTGATGAAGTGTGAGGATACATCAATGCATACTATTTTTTACTCTGTTTTTGTGGTGGTGGGAGGGAGTTTGGCCTATGTTTTCTTTCACAACATGACTAATTTGGAAATGTATTTTGCATGATTGCACACATATAACCTATGTTAAATTGCCTGCCTTCTCAATAAGGGGGAAGGGAAGGGAAAGAAAGAATTTAAAACTTAATTTTTTTAAAATGAATCTTAAAAACTGTTGTTGCACATAATTGTAAAATATAAAATAATTTTAATGTAATAAAAAAGAAATTAGATCCAAGAAGAATTTATGGTAGTATTGGGAGATAACTATCATAGTTAGCCTCATAAATCACCAAAATCCTACTGTTAAATTGTGGAAGACTTCGGAAGTTGTAACCACTGTCCCAAAGCTCATAGCTATGGGCTTCTCTTCTTTTTGGTAGAGTTGAATGCCCTGACCTGTGTGAGAGGCAGTGGGGAGCTGGTAAGAGGTAAGAGAGCTCTAGTTTTTGCCAGTCCCACTTTGGGGACTCTCCAAGTGACAGTCTTCTTTGAGCCCCAAGTTAGATTCCATCTTCAAAACATGGAAGAATTCAAGCCCACTTCAGGCTGCTGAAGGAAGATTCTGAGAAGATATGAAGGGAGCAAATGGTCTCCATCATGTCCCTGTTCCTGGCTTGCTACTCTAGAGACTTCAGGAAGTTTTCCTTTGGGTGATACCTAGGACACTCTCTCGGTTGAGCTGAGTTCTCTTGCTCCCTATAAGCAATCTCCTACCCTCCATATTGTCTGGCATATAATCTCCTATATTCTCCTTCTCTGATTTCTGCTTTGCTAGGATTTGGATAAGTGGACTCTTTCCTATCATAACTTCCTTCTTCCCCTCTTGGCAGGAATATGTCTCCCTTAGAGAGTGGTATCAAGTGGGAAAAGGCGAAAGATGTCTATTCTGCCTTGATTGGAGCCAAACACAAGGACAGCACTTGCCACATGTGGACCCCTCTCTATAAACGGGTCCCACTTTCTTCCTATTGCTACACAGTTAAAAAGAAATGCCCATGATTTGGACCTTACAGATAAAATCAACTAAGAAAAAATATTTTATATGTATATTTATTACACAACAGTTTACACATAATACATAGGAGTAAGGGTTTTGGTGTTTTTGGTTTTTTTGGAAAAGATAGAATTGCAATTATAAAATTTTAGAACAGTAAAGAGTCTTGTTGTTCATTCATTTTCAGTTGTGACCCATTCTGTCTTCTCTTGGCAAAGATATTGGAATGGCTTGCCATTCTTTCTCCAGCTGATTTTACTGATAAGGAATCTGAGGCAATCAGTTAAGTCACTTGCCCAGGGTTACATAGCTAAAATGAGCTGAGGCTAGTTTTGAATTCAGGAAGATGAATCTTCCTGACTCTAGACCCAGCACTCTATCCACTGTACCACCCAGCTGCCTGAAAAAGCCTTAAAGATCACTTAATTCAGTCATTTCCCATTATTAATTATAATCTCTATTCCTATAGAGATTTACTTAAGAACACACAGTAAATAGGTAGGGAAGCCGGGTTTTAAACATTAGTCTCTGAACCCCCAATCTAGCAATCTTTCCATGTGATCTTATTACCTTAATAGATTCATATTATGCTCATTTGTAATTTATAACAGTGATAGGTTGAAGAAAAAAAAACTATCCATGAAAAAAAAGCTTTTGATGAACAAATTGCTATGTATTAAGTTTCAGAATAATGTTACACTTACACAAAAATGTTAATGAGGTTCCTTTTCTAATAGAGCAGAGTAGAAAGAAGCAAGGGAGTCAAATCTGCTGAAATCCCCAGAATGACATAGAATCACCCTCTATCTCTGTTAATCCTACTGCCCCCCCCAAAAAAGAGAACGTTTAAAAAATTTAAATCACCTTGAGGAGAGATACTTAGTCAACCACTGCCAATACAGTCACATTGGCATGGTGCCCTTAAATCCAAATTACCTTGTTATATTATGCCCTGATTTCTGTAATTCTTCAGACTCCTAGCTACAATAAAAAGAGGGTTAAATCTTAAGGAAATATCAGAATTAATCACATAGAGACAGAAATATAACTTGTCTCTCTAGCTGCTTTTAATAGCTTGTATAAGGTAACATCAAAAACAGTTATAAGGAAATTTAAGAAGGCAAATTGAATGCAATACTCATAAGAATAAATGTGAATGACCTGAAAAATTACAGATAGATTGAGAAACAAAACTAATCACTATTTTATTGGCAAGAAACCTATTACATGTAAAGAGATATAGCTAGATAAAAACCAAGAGATGGATTTTAAATATATTTTATGTTGGCACTTTCAAGAAAGAAGATTAGTAATAATGGCATCTGGTAAAGTACAATTAAAACTAGAAAACAAGGAAAGATTTTTTAAGGGTGAAAAATTAAATAGTTCTCAATTTATACAAAC